ATTCTTCTGTAATATAATCTATAGGCTCTGTGTTGTGGCCGTTTTCCCTCATGCACATATTCACTCAGTTCACACATTTATTGAGCACCTAACATATACTAAGAATTGGAGCATAGATTACTTTTATAATTTGGAAAAGCAAACACTAGAGGGAAGAAGCAATAAATAACAGCAGGAGAAGCAGCCAATCAGCACCCCAGGTCACAAGCTGCTCTGCTCCAGGCCTAATTGGTCACTCAGCCAAAGAGCAGCAGACCTGTGGTAACTGTCTCCTCTATGTAAGGAACCTTTCTGTCCACTCTACCTGGCTTATTAGACTCAGGGCCTGTGCTGCAGTTCTCTTGGACCCTTGATCTCCTCAATAGCTTGGAGCGCATGTGTCTGGTGGCCCTCAGCTGGCAGGCCAGCTCAGGAAGTGCTAGGGCAGGACAGGGCTTGACACTCTTCTGCTTTATTTAGGAAAGAAGGGCCTCAACTGCAGAGTCTAAACATTATAGAATTAAAACGGCCTTCAACCAGGTGTAGTGGCACATGCATGTAATCCTAGTGGCTCAGGAGGCTGAGGCAGGAGGATCCCAAATTCAAGGTCAGCCTCAGCAACTTAGATAGGTCCTGAGCAATCCAGCAAGATCTTGTCTGGAAATTTAGAGTTGGGGATGTAACTCAGTGACAGAGCACCCCAATCCATAGTACCACAAAATAAATATTTTAAAGAATTAAAATTGTTCATGGCATTGTAAATACATATTACCCTTGTGCCCTGTTAAATTTTCAAAGGGGAAAAAATGCACATTCAGGGATTCCCTGCTTGAACAAACTCTTGGAGACCTAAATACCTTTGAGGATCTACCTAAGAAGGAAAGAAAAACTGCTTTTGAACTGAAGCACTACTGTGTCAATGGTGTTCAGATGATCATCTAATTGTGCCTCCTTTTCTTTTTGTGGTGCTTGGGGTGGAACCCAGGGCCTCGTGCATACTAAGCACTCTAACACTGAGCCACACCTCCAGCCCTCATGGTGTTTTTCTTTTCTTTTCTTTTTTTTCTTTTTTTTTTTTTTTGACTAGGGTCAAGATAGTAGGCAGGAAAAAGCATAACATTTCTCTGCACGAGTCAGAAGTGGACATGAGGGAAGCGTGACTGTGTCCACTAGGCACCAGTCATGGGTAGATGATCCACTGAATTTTGGTCACTTTGGCTGGTGCTTTCTGCCCACCCGCAAGGTCTTCTGCTGCCTTCCATCTACAGGAGGGTGGGAAAAGCAGAGCTTAAAGGCGTCTGTTCTTGGAGAGGCTTTTGGGGGAGAGGGTTTTTGTTAGGCAAAAAATTAGGCACAGCTTTAATTATACATGCTCTCGATGACTTGGCATCCCGCCAATAACATATGCCACACTCAGGTTACATAATTTCCAGCACTTATGGTGAGCAAAAACTCAAAGGAGATTGAGGGCTCTGAGGAAGGGGGAGGGAATGTGAGGAGAAACAAGGGAATGACATTAAAGAAAGAAATGAAGCCAGCACACAGTGGTGCAGGCCTGTGAACTCAGGTGCCCAGTAGGCTGAGGCAAGGGCTGCCTGAGCCTTGGAATTCAAGGCCAGCCTGGGAAACAGTGAGAAAAGCAGAGGGAGGAGGAGGGGGAAGGAAGGAGATTTTTTATTCCATTTGTATGACATGACCAGAGAAAGCAAATCTACAGAGTGTACATTAGGGGTCACCTAGGGATGAAGAAGTTAGGTGGTGATGACTAGGGGTGCTGGGTTTCTTTTTGGGGTAAGAAAATGTTCTAAACTTGATTGTGATGATGGTTGCTGAATTCCGAATACACTAAACATCACTAAGTTGTACACTCACCTATGAATTGTATGGTATATAAAGTATATTTTGGGCTGGGGTTGTGGCTCAGCGGTAGAGCGCTTGCCTAACATGTGCGAGGCCCTGGGTTTGATCCTCAGCACCCCATAAAAATAAATAAATAAAATAAAGGTATTGTGTCCAATTACAACTAAATAATAAATAAAAAAATCAAGTATATCTTGACAAAGATATTCGGTGAAAAAAATCAGTAACCATGGAGATAAAGGGGACTTAATGGCAACTGAGGACATTGTTTTATTTTTTTCCCTTTTTTTAAAAAAAATTATTTTATTATTTTTTAAAAATGACATTCTTGTTATTTTTATTTTGGTACCTGGGATTGAACCCAGGGGTCCTTAACCATTAAGCCACATATCTAGCCTTTTTTTATATTTTAGGGACAGGGTGTCACTAAGTTGCTTAGGGCCTCACTAAGTTGCTGAGGCTGGGTTTGAACTCTTGATCCTCCTGCCTCAGCCTCCCAAACTGCTGGGATTTCAGAGTGTGCCACCATGCCCAGCTCTGAGGACATTTATTGATAAGGCCCCCCAAAGCAGCTAGAACTCAAGGTTTGTGATCAAGATGTAGAGTTTGCTTCAGGAAACCATGCAGTGGCTTGGGGTCACTTTGCTGTCAGGCAAGGCCCTGCTTTAGCAAAAGCAGAGTCTCCATGGTATTCTGCACTCTGGACCTCTAATACATATGTACTTCGAGCTGGGGAAATGTCACAGGAAGCTTGGTTGGCATCCTGATCCAAGATGCTCACTGTCAGGATTACTAGAGAAGAAAGAGGGCGCCTCAGAGGCTGGTGGCTGGGAGGGGTTGATTCCTTTTCTCCCTCTTCTGGTCCTTTGCTGCTGCTGCTGGACCGAGTATGGGGCACACGCTGGAACTTACTGCCTTGGTGGCCCTGCTGCTGCTGCTAGGCAAAATCTGTCTGCAAGAAAGAATAGATCTATGGTAACATATGACTCAAAATAACTAGTGGGAATTCTTGGCAGAGTTAACAACTTTTTATTGAATCTCTTTCATGCACGCGCAGGCCCAGGCACACACGCCTTGTGATGTTGGTTTCCTGTCCTATCAGAGTCCTCTCCGTGCTGAAGCTGGGAAGACATGACAGTCTGATGCCCAGAGTGGACAGCACTCGAGGCCAGGGTTGGAGGCATCCCTGTGTGTTCTTCAGCTCCCGTCTACCCCAAGGAGGCGCTTGAGGAAAACTGCCTTCAAACTGGGGCCTGAATCTCTCCAAATGTTGTCTTGAACCTCAGTCCTTCAGGTACACAGCAGCACACATTCCCTGTCCCCAAAGGGCCTGCCTAAATCTCCATTGCCCTCCTTCCCCGCCCCACACGGCACCTCACTCTGCCCCCCTGCCCAGTGCTTCCTGAGCTCAGGGCTTCAGCCCCAGGGTCCAGGCAGGCAGCCCTGAGGAATGCTGGGCCACAGCCCTCCCACTGACAGGTGGCCAGTCAGAGAGCTCAGGATTCCAGACTCTTCTCCCCGCTGAATGTTGTTAGGCTTCACATCACACGCTCTATCCTGTCTGCTTTTAAAACTGATCTAAGGTGACTTCCAGGCATGTCTGGCACACAGTCCCCACCCCTGCAGGGCACCGGCTCACCTTTCATGAAAGGCATCCCCAGCGCTGCTGTCCCAGCTCCCAGCCTGGCCTACAAGGTTCCCATCCCGAGCTCTGGCTTCCTCCCCATCCACATCTCTCCTGCCTCCCCCCACCAGCACTCACCCCCCAGGCTCTCCCTTCCCTGGGACTGTGACATTCCCCCAAACCAGCTTCTCCCTGGGCCAGGGCCCTGCCAGGCCTTTCTTCAGTCTTTATACCTTGTTCCTTCATCCTCATTCCACGCTTGCTAATTTTTGGTTCTCACTAGATATTAAGCTCTTTGGTGGCCAAGGCCACGGCATGTGCAATATACTTTTTTTATCCCAAATGCCTGGCACATAGTGGATGCCAAATAAATGCTGAATGAATCAATGAATGACTCATCCATGAATTCCTGGGAATGGGTTGTGACTTCTTGTGGGGATACAAGATGGTCACATAAAGAAAAGTTAAGGAGGGGTACTGGGATCAGAATCAGAATGTCTACATTTTATTCTCCTTAATTTATTTTTGAGACAGGATCTTGCTGTCACACAGATTGGTCTTGAATTTCTAGGCTCAACTGATCCTCCCATCTCAGCCTCTCAAGTAGTTAGGACCATAGGGACATGCCATCATGCTTGATAAGACACCTACATTTTATTTTATTTTTTTTTATTGTTGGTCATTCAAAACATTACATAGTTCTTTTTTTTTTTTTTTTTTTTTTAAAGAGAGAGTGGGTTATGAACTCCCAATTTTACCCCGTATACA